GCCCACACATATCAACCATACGGCTCCGATTTCGGAGTCCCCGGCTGGTAGTGGTTAATCATCCAACAGGTGAGGGATTGAGGACTGTCAGGGTTTTCTTGTCCACTTCTGATATGAAATCTCTCTCTAAAATGGCTTTATGTGAGGCCAGGTAAACTATAATGTGGGCACGTGAAACCATTGTACATTTAATAAGACCCTCACAATAGCTGGAGCACCACACCACTGTTGTATAAAATAGACCTTGTTTGTCTGAAACAAAAACCCTTTGCTTTTATATCTCTGATGGGAGAGAGTGCAACTGTGGGTCAGAGATTTGTTGAACTTTGTTTCTGATTTTTGCCACAGATTTTGCAGGCAGACGGTGGGAACTATTGCGCCTGTGTCAATGCTGCCACGCTGGCCATCATCGACGCCGGCATTCCCATGAGAGACTACCTGTGTGCCTGCTCAGCAGGCTTTGTCAGTGACACCGCTCTTGTGGACATCAGCTACCTAGAGGAGTCACTGGGCGGCCCGGAGATGGTCGTGGCTCTCTTGCCCAAGTCGGAACAGATTGCGCTGTTCCAGCTAAACTCTCGCCTGCACGCGGACCACTTGTCCAAAGTGCTGGACATGGCCACCAAAGGCTGCAAGGATGTCTACACGGTGCTGGACGGGGCAGTCCGGGACCACGTCAGTGAAGTCACAGACAGCATGGCTCGGAGCTGAAGATGCACAACCATCATGGAAAAAAACCGTTTTCTAAACTATCACCGAGGGATATTTCACATAGAAATGAAAGGAGAGTAGTTTGTATGGTACCAACCACTGTTATCCTGCTTTGATGGAATAATGGACAGTGCATGAACAGGCCATCGTAGCTTCCGACTTTGCCATGAAGTGTGAAGAGGACAAGGCAAACTCACATACATGTACATGTGCCAGAACTGTGAAAAGATGATAGTTGCTTTCCCCCTCAAGAGATCCACATATGTGACCCGCTCTGCAAAAAAGGGTATTCAGGGATGCTGTGTTATTTCACGCTAAGGGCTTTTTAATGTGGACAGGGTGATTTTTTACTTCTTGGTTTATTGGCTTCTATTAGATCAATACTTTCACAATTCATACCAGAGACCTAACTGTTGCAATGGGTTTTAAGAGACTTTCTTCGTGGCTGATTTCTTTTTCCACTTCTTGTGTTTAATGGGGTTTTATCTCTGAAAGGAATTCTGTTGGCGTGTATGATATGATCAAATATCAATATATCTCCAGATTGCAAAATGCCATCGGGTTCAAACCAACACCAAATTAAAGCTTATAATGCTACTAATTCAAATGGGTATGTAACTCATTTTGAAAAAATTTCCCATAATACCCATTTTTGTGGAGCTGGTCACATATCTTATTCTCAGACTCCAAGAACAATCAGCTATGCATTGAAAGAGCGACTTTAGTCTGAATAATTCTAGAGCAAGAATCTGACAAGTTTGCATTCCTGGGTTGTTTTGGATCGATCCTTTGTGAAACTAATACAAAAGGCTTTATACCAGAGGAAATTCTAACGAAAGGAGTAAATTCTAATATCCTTTATCATGACGTTATCATAGAGAGGCCATTCTTTGCACAAATTATTCCAACAATTCGGCACTTATACATGTATTTTCATAGTTCCAAAAGATACGTTTATGTGGGTCACAATTTATCTGCATAACTTGATAAAGATCGATTCTTCTCTTTGAAAAGTTCGTGGTAGCATGTTACATTGTACCTTTGTAATGGGCCCAAGTGTACTTGCATGGTTACAGTTATATCCAGGTAACTTTTTAAGTGGGTTTGCTGTGAAGGGTCAATGCAATGCAATGTGTAAAATATATTCCTTTAAAATGCACTTTAAAAAACCATCGCTGCTTTCCTTCCACTGTTGCTCCCTTGCATGTAATTTCCATATTTTTCATCTCAATGTGTGCAAACCTGAAGCATCTTCACACCGGCTCCATGCACACAGCAGTAGTGGCATTCAAGTCTTGTAAGTAGGCGCATATGGCCCAGTGGTTTGGGTTTGTAGCTTCCGATTGTCGGGTTGGGGGTTGAATCCAGCTTGTGATCTTGGATCAAGTCACTTTACCCCTACGTGCCTCTCTTCACCCAGGATTAATGGGTACCTGTGAGGGCAGACATGGTTGTGATGTTTAGCTGTTTGTGCTTTATATGGCAGCTTTGGGCTAGTATGCTCCCCGGGGAGCTGAGACGGTTTCAGGAATGTTCAGATGTTGAGCCCAGTGTACAGGGAAAATTGTAATATATGTCAGCATCTGTGAATTACAGATACTGTGGGCCTTATAAATGCTTGGATGGGGTAGTTGGAATAGTCTATTCCACTGCGGTGTCGATTTTAGTTGTGGTTATGTTTTAGGTCCGAGACCAGTCATTCAGGCTTGTTTGAACTACATGTAAAAGGATAGAGAGAATAGTGTCAGCTTCAGATTTTGGAAACAAAATGGCTGTTCATTATGTGTAGTGTGCCGCTATTGTATGCCAACCGTCTGTGTGCACTTGTGCACACACCTGCCAGTTTGTTTCCAGCAACGCTCACATTCGTGTCACAACTCTCTATATACTCATCTCTCCAACTAGTAGCGGGAACAAAATGTGAAATGCAAGTGGTAATTAGTCCAGAGGCTCTCGCTTGGAACACTTAAAAAATGGTGCCCGGAACAAACAACGCTTGACACAGACCTACATCACATACGGAGGGCATTGTTTGGGCCGAAAATTTCTACTTTTGAAAGAGTGAAGATATACAATGGGAAACTTTGAATATACAGCCAAATGCCCCAAATACTGACCCATTAGTCATTGGAATGGTATTTGCGTGTTTCTATGGAGCGATTTTGCAACCACATACATGTACCTTGCACAACCGCCAAGTTCTGGCACACAGTCTGCCTCTGCACATTTTTTGGACATTGTGAATGTACAAAACGGATGGGAGATCAGGGTATTTGATCGTCAGCCGGGGGCAAGTCGAGGTGCGCGTCATGTTTTAATCCATCAGCTGTACCTGTGTTTACAGATTTCCACACATCCTTTGGTGCCAAGTCATCAAGGACTATCTGCAAGGACCAAACCCAACTTTGCTTAGCTGTATTTATCTGTTGTCTTTTAATGAGGGTTAGCTACAATCAAGACACAACACTGCTTTCCGTGGAGGCCCTCAGATTTACAACACGAGTCGAAGGCATACAAGGGTACTTCAGGCAGTCGTTAAGTGATCCACATCTGTAGAAGGGAAACTCTGAGAAGTTATAGTTTATAGGTGGAAGACATCAGGAGAGTATTCAGGGTAAAACCTACGGAATCAGGTAAGAATTGAAAACCCAATTGCTACACGTGGACCAAGCCAAATATTGAATCCGGGCTGCACAGGTGAAAGAAAAACTACTACGCCAACCCGAGTCTCCTAAATGTGTAGCCCACATGTAACCTGTCATACGACAGATTCTGGGCATCTTGAAGTACTTAATATTAGAAGAATCCACAAAATGAAAAAGGAATTTCTTTAACATGCTCGTTTATTTTTTTCTAAATTAACTTTTATTCAAGAGTTCCAATAAATTTCTTTGAAGACAAAAATCAGTGAATTATTTTATGCAATAACTTCTCAGCGAGACGGTTTGGGCTTTTATTGCAAAACGGGAACATGGTCGCTGTGCTCATGTTATTTCACAACTAGGACTTTCCACAAAACCTTAGCTGTGCCAGTGAGTTGGTATATTGCCAAACAACTGTTTTCACCACATACTGATCTGTTCCTGAACAACTTCACAAAAATTCAGCGCCACATCTAATTAGGACGCAATCCAGTAATGGGTGTTTCAGTGCAAATTCACGTACTAAGGTTTTGGGAACATGTATAGGGAACTCATCTATTCCTCCGTGTACACCCGTAACACTTGAATTACAAACAGTATTAACCTGCATGAAACTCTAAGTCGATCATTTAAAACCACTCGCATTTTCAGTACACTTGAACCAGTCGGGCTAAAACAGACCTTGTGTCTTGCTGGGACCTCTTGGAAGATGGCCAATCATACAGGTATGCTACTCTACCTAACACCCTGCTTTCCTTTAGGATGTCTAAAAGACTTCTTTAACTGTATCTTCCAATTAAGCCTTTCTGCAAGGAACATACACATTAAAATAAAGGTTTTACTGGGCGAAAAAAGGAGCCACTTGACTCAGTGGAGGTATAAACAATCCCCTCTTCAACACCAGAGTCAAACTTCAGTCCTACACAGGGCTGTGTCCCATGCTATGAATTGAAGGATGATTTGCACCAACGGCATATCGTATTCTGCATATTTACCTTGGTACATGTAGGATTCTTGAGTGAAGATTCCAGACCTTTAAAAATGTTCTGACTTTAAATGACCACTCCGAAGGCTCTTTCCATGCAGTTACATGTAACTTGCATAAGCAACTCACTCAGACTATTGTAGAGATGTTACAGAGACTTTTCTGAATGCTTTTCAGCCCTGAAAATCGGGAGACATTTCAGAACAGAACTCGGACTCCTGTATGAAACTGGAACTTCATCTGAAAAATGTAGGACACCATGGAGCCTGTACGACACACCTGTACAATCCCTCTGACATTGTGTATGACTCGGTTCACATTTCTCTAGTAATTCAACAACCAACAAAACCCCTAAAGGCCCCAAATAAATACATATTACTTGAGACCAACAGTACTGTACATGCATGTATGTGTACCATGAGAAAAAGCTTCCTTTCTCATCCATCCAATCATCTTCACATCTAAATTTTCAGTGACTTCATTCACTCTGTGAGAACAGGTCACAAACTGTCTGGGATACGCTTGAATATTCAAACCAGGTTAGGTAATGCATAGAGGTTAGGGTCAGAGGTCCTAGTCAGAATATTGAATGAAAGACGACATAGTGTTTTTATATGATCCGAGAAAAAACGTACTGCACCTTGTGGGCATGCCCTTTTCGTATGTATGATAGATTAACGCGACACTGTTTCACATCCATGAAATTACTGTGTGAATGTAGAGTTTCCATGGATGCTGAAAGCAATATACACAGTACGACTCACTTGCCAATCACAACTTTGAACCATCTGCTCTATGTATGAAAATGCAGGTTTTACAAGTTAGAAGGGCAAAAACTGAGCGCTTCCTACAAACAATTTTTGGAAGAATTGATGAAATTGAGATCAGACACTGACTTGTCAACACCTTTCACTGTTACTCGCTAATTAAATTGTTTTCAAAACTTTATCTTTTGTTTAAACAAAGAACAAATAATTTACATTTCATCAATTTTTCATTTTGCTTACGTAGGCCAATGGAAAAAGAAAATTGAATCACAGCTGAATGGAGATAAAGAGGGCATGCCATCTCAGTACTTTATACTTGCTGCATTTTTTGTTGGCTCTCAGTTAAATTTATGACATTCCATTTCACACGAAAGCAGGACATTGCTTGTGGTGTAATTTCCACTTTCACACCCATCACACCTTGCGGCATAATTCATGAATACTTTGTGAAAAATTTCCCAATGTCTGTCCCAACAGTTTGAACTTTAAAGCCCAGAATGTTTTACCGACAGTGAACAAAATTTTCTTTAAAAATTGGCCCAAAGATGCTTACTCCCAAGCAAAGTTCATAGTTCTCTATCAGAGAAAACAAAACAAAACGTTGAGTTCTTTTTTTCTATTTGCACCAAAGTTTTTCAAATAACTAAATTACACACAAAAAAAAACACCTTTCACTGACTCAATATTTAAATTTACAGAAATCAAGACCTGAAAAATGCAGTGACTGCCATCAAGTCGATATTATAAAGGTGCACACACAAGTATATTTTGACTTTTTACTTTCACTGTCAGAATTTCTTCAAGTGTTTGTTCTTCTTTGTGGTTAACATAAATTGCGAAAACTGTTTTTTCTCTGACTTTTTTTCTCATCTTAAGAACACATCTTTGTCACACAGGTTGGTAAGATCCCTTGCCTCCAAAAGATAATAGTTTTTGTTTAAAAAGGACTAACACTGTTCAAAGGACTGTCAAATACTCTCCCGCCATTGAAGATATAGTACCTTTCCTTTCAATATAATTGTGTTGGAATCTTCCTTCACATTAATATAAAGCCTGTAACATGTTTGGTGTAGCTAAATAATATCCAGGAATATGATATGCATGAAAATAAAAGATGGATACATCATTGTATAGTGGCAAAGCAAGTTTAATGTTTACGCCATTTTTCCTTGAATAAAACCTCTACAAAATGGAGTAAACTATTCATTCTGCTTTATTACACGGAAGGCATTTCTCAAGGGGCTTCTTTTTATTGATGACTGTCTGAATTTGAATTAACCTTAATCTCGTAGCTTCAATGCTAAAGGTCAGATCTGGGAACACTAAGAAAACCATCCGGTTAATGCGAAGAAGCCTGAACAATATCAACATGTGGTTAATTAGGTCAAACTTATCTGCACAGCTCAGCAAGAATACTCTCCATTGAAACCTGCCACTTTTCCAGCAGAAAATGGGCTAAAATTAGTGGAGTACACTGAGCCGGGTATGTCAGCATTCCTGCTCCGTGCAATTGAAATACAAAACCTACTACACAAGAGGAGCAGTCACGTGACTATCCATAGTTTTGCGGGGGAGAATTGTGCCTGCTTTGTCCTGTAAGCACAAGTGATGCATGGAATCCTAGTTCAATATTGTGCATACCTTTTGCTGTTGTTGTGTGTTCCGAAAAGTAGCGCAAATGCATGGGGGCTTGTGACATTGTCTATGCATCCTTGACACTTTTTTAGTATATGCTGATCCCAGATCATGAGTAAACTTGCCTGTGACACGCTACAGACTTATGCTATTACCAAGCAAATGCATCAGTGGCTGAGGATGAATGTTACTCCACGGTTTGCACTGTACATGTACATCTTACAAGTCTAGCATGACGGTGAGCCAGATGCTCGTTTCCGTCGATACAGGCTGATCGCGAACAGGCGGTGATCAACTGATTAGGCAAAGCTGGTGTGGTTGGGTCAGCCAAAGTGTTCTAAAAAGTCTGACTGGCTGACCTGACGTTAGCGAAGTAGCCACTGTCCATGTCTGGCTTGACTGACTCTACCCAGACAATGTAACAAACACAGTGGCCGATCAGATCTCAGTGAACTGGAAACCAACTGATCAACTACCAAATGGCACTGACAATTATTTACTCCACTCTTCTTTTTTCATGAAATACGCTAATCTCTTTCAACACCGGTCTTATTTACCTTTGTCCGAAGTTTTCTGCGGAGGAATGTTTATGTATATGGTGATACGCTTTATTTTCAAGCTGTGCCATTCAATTAGTGACCTGTGCAGGTGTTTTTATTAAGTATCTAATTCTCTTCTTTGTTTACTTTCTTAACTTTCTTCTTTTTTTTTTTTACATCCAAATCAATTAATTTATACTTCTACGTAGAAAAGAACATCCCTCATAAGGCATCCAAAAATTAGAGTCGTAACACGAAGTTTTCACTCAAGTCTAACACAGCATGAGGTGGCACATATGCAAGGCCTCATCCAGTATCAAATCTACAGCACCCAGGCAAATTGTACACAACATATGCCGCCCTCCACTGGAGGTCTGGCTTCATAAATACACACTATAAACAATAACCGAGAAAAACAAGAACAAGAGAAAAACAAGTTGCTGATACAGACTTGTGCTCCTGGGCCGCTGATATGCCTCCTTTGGTATTTACTGGCAAAGATTTACTCGGCTTCAGATCCCTATGCTGTGGCCTCCGAAGGTTTTTCTGTCTTCCCTGTCGAGGTCTGAAATTAAAGGGCAATAAATAGTTTGTCACGTTAAACCAAATACAGAATACTGGCAACTGAGACCCGATATTGGGACCCGATCTTTTTTCCAAACACATCGTCACATCTCGGCCATTCTTGGAAAAGATCATAGAATCCTTTACAATAGCAAGGGCTGCTAAATGGGCA